GTAAGCACTGACTCCAGCTAAAGCCCTCGTCTGAAAACTGAGTACACTTGTTCCAAAAGTGTAAAAGCCACTCTTGGAATCTTAGTATCTCCCTTGCATCATTCTTACCCACTTCACCACTTCTAAAGTGTTTCTCCTGAAGTACATTTCAGACCTTGAATGCAAGCTCACATGAGAACTCTGCGTCTGCCAAATTTTCAGACTGAAAATGTGGGAGTCTCCAAGTGGGGAATGAATCCAGAGAAATCCCAGGGTATCTGCCTCTGTGCAAACAGCCAACCTCCCCCTGGACTCGGAGTCAGAACACTTGAATACTATAACCATCAGTGGCTTTAACATCTGACTGTAAATACCAACTCCACAAGAGCCACCAGATCACTCTCAGTTTTCAACAGTATATGACCCAGTCCTCCTCTTGGGTTTGATCTCACACTATTTAAAAGTCAATGAGAATCATGCCATTGACTTCAGAGGCAGCAGTGTCATATATAAAGATCTTCCTGGATATCAGCCTGTTATTGAATGAACTGAGGTAAAAATTTAATCAGATATTTTTGAAATTCAACTTCAGCCAGGCTCTAAGTTTCAGTTTTGATTTAAAATGGAGGCTATGCAGCTAATATCCCTTACTTCGACTATTGGTTAATTTTGCTTGTCATAGATTTCCTTTAATCTTGCCTAACACAGACTATAAAAACTCAGTCCTGTTCCCCTGCCCTTTGCTGTTTCATTAAACATGCATAATGTTGAGGCAGGATTTAACTGATTATTTAGCTCTACCAGTACTTGAAATAAGTAGTGTACAGCTTACTGATCAGAGTGTATGGTGGTAGATATCACATGCACTTCCAACACAGTCTGTCTTTGGTATGAGTTGTTTAAGTTTCTTTTTGATGAGTCAGAGTTGATATTTTTCGAGCTAACAATTTATACACGTTTCTCCCTTGACATGTACATCAGTAATCATGCATTGCCGTTGTGTGTCTCCCTCCTTTTTGTGGGGGCTGACAAATAGTATATCATTATTAAAGATTTCTGTCCCTCTGCTTAGGGGCTACAGTCTGGCAAGTGAATGACATGTTAATTTTAAACAACACTGCTCCCCTTGTCCTTGTTTGTTCTGCAGCACTGAAATCATAAACATCAAGAACTATTTCACTCTGAACAGCCTAAATTGGCAGCTGTAATTGTAATGAGTTTTTGGTAGAGAAGGGAAACAATCAGGCATCACTCAAGGCCACAACATTTTAAAAGAGAAAAATGAGTTAAAAGGGGAATAAGAGTTTTGCAATTAGGTTTAAGCTTTTTACTGCTCAGTCCTTGCCCCACTGCACAAAGCAACCTCTTTTGGGGTTTTTTGGGGCCCTCTTAAAGAGGTCCATTATGATTAAACATGTTCCCTGTGGGCATAGTTGATTCTTCTCTACTCACAGACCCCTGGTGACTGTCTGTTCTGTTTCTCTTCTCTCCTAGGTACAATAACTATGACCGGGCAGTCATCAACACAGTGCCTTACGATGTAGTGCATCGCTGGTATGCTGCACACCGAACACTCACCACAGAATTAAGGAGACCAGAAAATGAACTCTGGGTCAAACTGAAGCCAGGCAAGGTAGAGTCACAAGTTCAGCCTGTGTTCACGAGACTAGACTGCGTGCATTGAGGAAGGCAGGGCACCTGGTTTTAGTTCGAGTGGTATGGCACTCAGGGCTGCTGACTTTTGTCACTGACTTGGTGTAATACCTTGGGCACATTTGCTGGATGTTCTCCCTCTTTGTAGTAACTGCAGTAAGGGGTAATGCATCATATCACATTAATCTCTATATGTGTTCTTACCTCTGGAAGAGGGGGCAGGTGGAGAATAAATGGCTCCAAGACAAGAGAGAAATAGTGGAGTTTCACCGAAGAGACAGTTTGGAAGGATGGCTGCCACCCATGGGAGGGAATAGATGTCCTTATCTGTGAAATAGTAAGCTTCCTCTGTCAGGTAGTGTGTTGAGACCTGGTAGAAGTGGAAAGTCTAATGGAAATATATTCTAATGGAAATATGTATGGAGAACATCTGAGGAAACAGATCAGGCTAGCTAGCCTGATTAAACATGGTTTATATGAGCTGTGTTCTGTCTTGCTCTGCAAGAGAAGAGATTTATAAAAATAAAATATTCCCCAATTTACCCTAGAAATGACTGAAGTGCCTGGTGCATCAATTGTGAGCACTGAAAGAAAGTAGCATGTTCTAGACTTAAAATGTTGGTGGGATGTGTGTGTGTGTGTTATGGTGGAGTACTTTAAACCTGTGTCTAGGATTAAAACTGCATCATGCAGATCTGAACCAGGTTGTAGGTAAATAGCTCTTAGCTATATTTCCCCTGGAGCTACACCCATCCTAGGCCCAGGTGAAAGGGTTTACACATAAATGGGCTAGATTTGGTATTAACCTAGGTTCAGGGCCCTTGGAATTGGAAAATACCAGGCAAGATTGCAGGGGCAAAGAACAGTTACAGCTTCCTGGAGTCTATGTTGGAAAGGAGAGAAGAGGGCAGGCAGGGCAGTCTGAAAAGTGAGTGATGATGGCCTCTGAGGTCAGAAACAGGGCGAGCGTGGCACTGGGCCATTACAGCAAGAGAATAGCAAAGCCCAGTCAACCCCAGGGGTTAGGGTTGCAGGTAAAGTCTGCCAGCCAGCTGTTGTGGAAGGAGAAGTAAATGGCACAAGGTGGACATTTTCTGGCATTATGTGCAACTTTGGGGTTGTTCCTGCCAGGAGCTGCCATTGTGCTACTTGTCATAGCCGGTGGGGGTGGGGGAAAGACAGTGCCCTAGTGTGAGATCTCACATGGCTTCTAGTTCACTTCCTGGTCTGACTGCTTTTCTGCTCCCATCCAGGCACTGTTTGTGGATAACTGGCGAGTACTTCATGGGCGGGAATCATTCACAGGATACCGCCAGCTCTGTGGGTGCTACTTGTCGAGAGACGATGTGCTGAATACTGCACGGTTCCTGGGGATGAAAGCTTAGCATGGACTGTCTGCAGCTGAGAGGCAGGCAACGTTCGACAAGCTGCAGTGCCCCAGGATTGTATATCACCAGGATGAAAATGGTCTGGATACCTCAACCCTTCCATCCGTTCTAGACAGTCCCTGGTGCCTGGGGGAGCACTCCGAGGTCGGAGGGCACCAAGGCATTGCCTAATTGCATCCTCCCATTGAAAAATCACACTGCTTTCTCCCTCCCCCCCGTTCCCCGCCCTGTGCACCACCCAAGGACCTTTTAGCACAGTCTGGTTCAGAGTCACAAGGAAGACACTGAGGCAGAGCTAATCAGGATACCGTCAGAAATTCTCCCACTCAAGTGCCTTTTGGATTATAAATGAGGCTATGAAAGCCTCATATTTCCTCTGTTCATCAATGGTTGCTTTTTTCAGCCACTAGCTTAGGTTTTTATTGTACATGGCAGAGTTGCTTTTTTTTGCTGTGTCTTTCTCTGAGCTACATGAGAGTCCCCTCTACAGAGAGGATTTCAGTGATCCTACTTGAAACAGTGTAGAAATCAAGCCACTCCAGCTTGGGCTTGGTGATACACTTCAGTAACTTCTCTTCTATTCCTTACAGACACCCCACACCATGTAAACATAGAAATAATAGGGCTGTAGAGACAGCATCTTATTTCTCCACTATTTGAGAGTAAGGCATGCTGACTGAAGGCCCAGCTGAATCAGCCAGTGCAGCTGGGACATCTCCAAACAAGTTTTAGTGGAAAAGTAAGGAGAGGGAAAGGTGATCCATGAGGGGAGGGAAGCAAAGCACAGTCCCCCTTGGGTGTATAAAGTGAGAGCAGTATTTCCCATGTC